CAGCTGAAGACACGATTTCGGAGTCTGCCAAAGGCTTGAGATGCACATCTGATCTGATGCTGAATCTCTTCATCAATGTCTGAGGTGGTGAACAGGTGGCAGCCGAGATAACGAAAGTGGCCAACATTAGAGAGGGTAGTACGTTAAGCTGGATGGATGGTGGAGGTGTGGCTGAACCAGTGGCAGGTTGAAAGTGAATCTGAGTCTTACGTACATTCACCTCAAGGCCGAAGTGTGCATACGCGTCTGCGTAGGTATTCAGGATCTCCTGTAGGTCGTGTTCAGTGTGAGCAACAAGGGTGAGGTCGTCTGCATACTGTAGTTCAGTAATGGAAGCTGCCGACACCTTTGTTCTTGCCTGGAATCGTCTTATGTTGAAAAGACCCCCCTTCACCCGGTACTTGATGTCCATCCCGCCGGCTAAATTGGCACTGGCACAAGTAAGGAAGGCAACTAAGAAAATGGAAAAGAGAGTTGGTGCCAGTACACACCCTTGTTTAACCCCTGATTAGATGGGGAAGAACTCAGACTGGGTACCATTTTGCAGGACACTTCCGTTCATGCCATCGTGGAGTTGCCTCACAATGGCGATGAATTTTGGTGGGTAGCCAAATTGGCTGAGGGTCCACCAGAGGGCTTCCCTGTTGGCTGAGTCGAAGGCCTTGGTTAGGTCAATGAAAGTCATGTACAGGTCACCATGCTGTTTTCTGCACTTTTCGTGTATCTGGTGGACAGCAAAGATCATGTCAGTGGTGCCACGTGATGGTCTAAAACTACATTGAGATTCTGGGAGGAAGTTTTCCACCTCAGGAAGAAGTCTGTTTAGAAGGACTCAATCGATAATCTTGCCAGCTACGGAGACACCAAGATCCCACGGTAACTCCCACAGTCTAACTGGTCTCCCTTGTTCTTATAAATATTGACAGTGGAGGCGTCTTTAAGAGGTTGGGGGATTTCCTCTTTTCCCTTATATTTTCCAGAAGAGAGTGGAGACGGCTGATAAGCAGAGATCCTCCTGCTTTATACACCTCGGCTGGGATTCCATCAGGCCCTGAGGCTTTGTTATTTTTCATCTGTTTGATGGCAGTAGCTACCTTATCCAGGGATGGAGGAGAGCTGAGGTGGGTCAGCTCTGGATGCTGGGTAGTCAGGACATCCACATTGGTGTTACTGTTGAGCAATGAATGGCAGTGCTCTTTCCAGCGCTGAAGGAGGCCTTCATCATCTTTAGTTATGAGGTTACCGTCAGATGAGCAGAGAGGGGCTGCGCCACAAGTGACTGGCCCATAAAATGTTTTAGTGAAAATTAAAAATTTGCTCATCTTATGCTGATCTGCAAGTTTTTGTGCTTCACATGCTTTATTTTTAAGCCACTCTTTCTTTAGATTGCGAAGTTCCCGCTGGGCTGCCACTTTCTTCTTGAGGACAGTATCAGCTTTTGTCCGAGACTGAGGGTTGTTCTGCCAGTCAGTAAAAGCAGCATAATTATCATCGATGAGTACTTTGAATGCTGGGTCATTTTCATCAAACTAGTCATGGTGTATTCTTTTGATCTGGCCGAGGGTCTCTCTGCAGGTCTTTTGTCATAACAGTATTAAGACTATCCCATTTGGCACTGGGATTCACGTTGTTTGCTGTTGGGTTGTTTATAAGCTCATGTTCGAGCTGCTCTCTGAAAGCATGTATTACCGCTGGATCCTCCAGACGCTTAGTAATAAAACCTCTTCTGGAGTCTTGCTGCCTTCGCCGTTTTGGGGCGACGTGAAGTGAGAGCTTGGATCTGATAAGTCGATGATCAGTGTCACAGTGGTCTGAGCCACGCATGGCACGAGTGATGAGGACATCTTTGCAATCTCTTTCTCTGACAATAATGTAGTCAGTGAGATGCTAGTGTTTGGATCGTGGGTGTTGCCACGAACCATTGAACTTGTCGGCCTGCCTACACAAGGTGATAGTGAGGTTGTGTACAGCACACTTGCTGAGGAGGAGTAGGCTGTTGGGATTACACTTTCCTAGTCTATTTCTCCCTATGGTTCCCTGCCAAATGTTAGCATCTCTGCCAACTCCGGCATTGAAGTCACCAAGGAGCACAACCTTTTTCTTCTTTGGGGATAAAGGTTAGCACTCTGTCGAGGTCGGTGTAAAAGGCCTCCTTGATGTCATCCTCTGCATCCAGTGTTGGGGGCGTATGCACTGATGAAGAAGGCATGACGTGAGTGATTCAGTGGGACTCGAAGCGTCATGAGGCGCTTGTTGATCCGAATAGGCATTTCAGTTAGCCTGTGTAGGATGCATTGGCGGATGGCAAAGCCACCTCCATAAATGCGGTTTCTGTCCGCAGAAGGCTTACCCTTCCACAAGAAGGTGTAGCCAGACCCCCTTTCTGTGAGTTGGCCCTCATCTGGGAGCCGGGATTCACTAATGGCTACTATGAACTGGATGATGGCTGCGCGTGAGTTGGTTTATGTGGTGAGACAGGAGTGCAGGCTGCAACCACACATCTTGGCTATCCCTTTTCCTGATCCAGTGGTGCAAGATTTGCAACGATTGGGGAGAGGGAGAGTCGCAATGGAATGCCGATAGCCCAGTTTGTTGGGTTTCGCCTTTGTAGCCTGTCCATCAAGCATTGCCTTTGTCTGCTGGTGTAGTCGTTAGGTTTCCATGGTGGTCACCTCTTCTGCCTACTTTGCCTTTGGGGTCTTGTTGGAGCTCTGTAAGCATGTCTGCCTGATGCCGGGCTCCACTGCAGATTTTTTGTTCGGGGTTTACTCCCATAGCCTTATAACTGCCAAGGTTAATCCGCAAGGCAGCAGGGCGGTGGTTGGTAGGCGCCAGGACGTGTCCACATGCCAGTGGGCCTATGCGCCGTCCATCTGGGGCCCACTGCTACTCCAAGATCTCCTGCTGATCTAGCCTGGGTCCACGAGCCACCCAGTTACCTTGTGTTGCCACCAGGAGGCACAGCAAGAGTGTTGATGGTGAAGAGGCTGTGTACTGGCAGGGGAAGACTTATGCAAGTTGCTTCCCTGTTCGCCACGAGGGCTAGCCAGTGGTGGCAGCTGAAAGCGAGGGGGAGCAAGAAGTCACACACACACACACACACACACACACACACACACACACACACACACACACACACACACACACACACACACACACACACACACACACACACACACACACACACACACACACACACACACACACACACACACACACACACACACACACACACACACACACACACACACACACATGCGCATGGTGCATGGTGAACAGTGCTTAAGTCAGTGAGAACAACTCAACAGTAACAGTCGTACCCAAGTTAACCTTCACACAGTGAGGTCCCAGGTACCCAGTGATAACGGCCCCCGCGAGACCCAACAACAACCACCGATGTGTTAATCCGTCTACGATAGGAAGGCCTGGGACCAAACCTCACTCATATAACACCATCTGTGAGGGAATTACTACACCACATGTCCCTCATAACACCATATGTGAGGGAATTACTACACCACGTCAGGCCCCTCATAACACCATCTGTGAGGGAATTACTACACCACGTGAGGCCCCTCATAACACCATCAGCGAGGGAATTACTACACCACGCCAGGTCCTTCATAACAACATCTGAGGGAACTACTACACCACGTGAGTTCCTCCTAACACCATCTGGGAGGGAGTTACTACACTACAAGTTTGCTGTTCAACACCTACATTAATCTGTATGTTCACTGTATGTTCCTTTACCTTTCTCTAATGAAGGCTTTTGTTAAACCACCAATGTATGTAATAAGTCATTTATGTCCAATGTATATTTTCAGCCTTCGGGCTGCAGAATTTTTTTCAATAAACCGTTAATTATTATGGTGAATTAGCCGTTTCAGGAGGGGAGGAGTGTCACGTTCACTTTTACCCCCAATAGACTCTTCTCCTCAGGAGGGGGGAGGTGGGGAGATTAACACATACAGTACTTAGAATAAAGGCAGAGGGGTTTTATTGTTTTGCTTATAAAATGTAACTGATTTGACTTAGGAGAATATAACTTGCATTACTGAAATTCTTGTAAGATACAACTTTGCTCATTTGTGCTTATACTTATCACAATCTCTCTTAAATAGTTTTGGTTTCGTGTTTATTCAAGACATCTTCAGGTCATGAGACCCACTAATCCCCCACCTAAGAAAGGAAGAAAGGGTGACCTGACATTCCATCAGAAGGTCAGTAATACGAGACCACTAATCCCCCACCCTACCTCCACCTGACATTGAGTCAGGTCTGGTCCCTCCCTAAAATACTTAGCTTTCATCTTTTTTCAAGACATTTTCAGAAAATGTTGTCAATTTTCGACCTCGGAAAATTTGTTCCCAAAGCCGGAATTCTTTTTAAATTCCAGCCTCGACTTACGACATATTAGACTTACGATAACCTGGACATACGACGGCCATGGTCGTATAAAATATTTTTCACATTACATATTTTCGAGTCCCGACGTTAGTGATCGCGCTGGCAAGCATAAAAGTGAGAGTTTCCGTGGGGCTGAGAAGAAAAAGAGACACCCATTTTAGAATTTCCATGTATTATTTTCGCCTTTTCGACTTACGACTTGGTCTTCGGGACGGAACCCCGTCATAAGTTGAGGAGAGACTGTATATTGTTTAAGTTATAAATAAAAAATACTCTAATCATTTACCAGTATGAGAGAGTGTAGACTGTTCGCTTGTTGCCACATACTGCTAACACAGAGTACTAAAAAGTAAATTTTGGCAAGTTTAGTTCACACCGAGGATGTAGCTTTCAAATCGCAGTTTAGGGGGTTGATTTACCTGCTAGGTAATTAGCAATTTCAGTTGAAATGATTAAGGTCATCTTATACGTCCAGTCGACTTATAGGCCACAGTATATGGTATGTAAAAAGGAACATTTAATGTATCCAACTGAATTAAATATATCTTTATGCTATTTAGATTCATATAGTATTAACTGTAACTTTTCAGGCAGTAACACTCTTCTTGGGGGCGGGCAGTTGTCGCAGATGGCAAGTGGAACTGTCTCACAAGGTATGGGTCAGCAAGGACCAGGTGGACCTGTTAGTGTACAGATGGGAACAGGACAGTCAGTGTTAGCCACACAGCTCACTACACGACCAACTCTGAACATACAGCAACAACAACAACAGCAGCAACAACAGCAGCAGCAGCAGCAACAACAACAACAACAACAGCAATCAGAAATATTACAAATGCGCCAAAATCAGGTGAGTGACTTATATTTTAGTTTTAACATTAATGGATCTTATTGTAGTCTCAATGTGAAAGAATTTCTCGATTGACTAGCATACACTAGTACCTCAACATTCGCGAGGGATAGGTTCCTGGGATACCTGCGAATGTATAATTTCACAAATAACATTCTTTAATATGTACCCTAACTTTGATATTATAGTGTACCATAAATTAAGGACCAAAAATAAATAAAAATAGAAAAAAACATTTAAGCCTTCTAAATACAAGACAAGTATGTACAGTTACTTTATACAGTTGTATTATGAGTTAATCAAAAATAAATTAAATGAGAAACAAGTAAATGTAGTGTGATGTTAGGGAAGTGAACTGAATTGCAGAAGTGGCAATGCATCGTCTGCTGCCTGCCTCACATGGCCCGTACCAGTACCAACAATACTGCGCCATCAACACAAACATGATCGCTCGCCTGACAAGCAACTCTGTAATTGAAACATGCGTACATACTAAATATTACGTTTTCCTGTAACAAATTTATGACTGGGAAAAGTAAATAATTTATCCCAGTCATAAGCGTAATACAGTGTAATAGCAGCGTAATAGCAGTGTTACTTATGTATATAGGAGTTATGTATATAAAGTGTAGTTTTCTTACCTCAAAATGGCTGCTGTAAAGGCCTCAGTAATGATACTGAAGATATTACTGCTCCTCCTTTAAGTCTTCTGGACTGGGATCATCCAGAATGTCCAATGAGGGGCTGGCAGGTGGAGTGAAGGGGAGAGACAGGCCATGTGGGTGGCAGGGGTGATACAGATGACGCAGGGCTGGTTGTAAGGAGAGAGATGGGAGAGGGGAGGGGTTGGATCTCAGCATTAAATACTTTGTTTTTGGCAAATGTTTGGCTTTCTTTTTTTAGTTCTTCATAAATTTCTCGATAAAGTTGAAAAACATTCTTGATATTCCGCTTCACTTTGATGCTTAATTCCATTGATGGGTCATAGTCATAAATCATATCTGTTAAATTTTTGGCACATTTGAATATATCTGCCATCTTATGTAGAGTCCAGTTATTATCCTCCTCTTCTAATTAGTCTGCTTTCGGTTCCTCTCCTGATGTTTCAAGCATCTCCACAACTTCTTCTGGGTCCAGTTCAGCAAAACCTTCCCCTCCAACTTCTCATGCCAACTTCACAATTTTTATAACTTCACCACTAACAGAAGGAAACCCTGTGAAGTTGTTCACAGCTTCCTTCCAAAGAGATTACCAACAAGCGTCGATGGTCGTTGCTTTCAGTTCATCTTCGGATTCTTTGATGTTGTTTATACAGTCAGCGATGTTATGATCCTTCCAACATTTACGCACATCAAGGTTCTGATCCTCGTCCATTGCCTGATGGATCCTGCCAAAGGTACAACAAGTATAATATGCTTTGAACATTGATGTAATGCCCTGGTCGAAGGCTGGATGAGAGAAACAGCACCTTAACATTAGGGTTTTGCAAATTCCACAGATTTAGGTTGACCAGAAGCATTGTTAATGATGTGGAGAACCATGAATTCCTGCATTTTCTTCTCCAGGTACTTTTCCATTTCACGTACAAAGCAGTTATGGAACCAAACCATAATCAGTTGTCTCATTATTCAGGCTTTCTTATTTGACCTGCAAAATACAGAAAGACATTGCTTGTCCTTCCCCTTAAGCATCTTGGAGTTGCAGAAATGGTGAAGCATCATAAACTTTACCATAAAGTCTGCCACATTCCCTCATAAGGAGTGTAACCCGATCTTTTGCTGCATTAAAACCTGAGACAGTCTTTTCTTTTTGGGCGAGAAATGTGCATGTGGACATCATCTTATACCATAAAGCAGTCTCATCTGCATTGAACATTTGCTCAGGTGTGTGACCATTTTCATTTATTATGTCCTTAATACACAGTTGGGTATGCAGCTGCTGCCACTTGGTCCGCAGCTACTGCCTCACCTCTGAGTCTGACGTTGTGCAGTGGATATCTTTTCTTAAGCTCATCAAATCAGCCCTCACTTCCTTGGAAAGGTGTAGAACCTGAACTTGTATCCTGGCTGAAACATTCATAAAGACACCACAGCTTTATCATAGATAACCTTTTGGTCGACTGGCACATTTCTCTAACTCATGTCCTCAATCCATACATTAAACGCCTTCACCATCTTCTCCATACCTTTATCATGTATCTGATGTATGACTTTAGCACTGTGTGGTGCATTATGAGTTACACTACCTCTAATTTTCTTGCCTTTCATCTTTATGGAACAAACAGTTGACTCACTCCAAATGCATGGCCAACCGCTGACGCGCTCATGCCGCTATCAAGTTTATATAACACTAATTTTTTGTGTCAGAGTCATGACTTTCTTCACTCTCTTTGCACCGGATGCACTACCACCAGTTAAGGGCCTTTTGGGAGCCATGACAGTTATAATTAATGTTAGAATTGCTCTCAGACAAAACTGGCGGGCGATGCGGGAGAACTCTCAGATGAGTCTGGCTGGAGAACACAGCTGCATGGGATGCAGCATGACACCATGACGTCACATCATGGCGGACGCCGCGGTTTTTAAAATAAGCATCTATCTTTTTTATGTTATTTTTATAGATTAAAACCTCTGAGTTAAACTCGCATTTTTTGAGGTATTGTTGTACTGACAATTTTTTTTTTTAGGGATATTACAGCAATTACAAGGAGAGAAAAGTGTTTAGGAGGCTAGATAAATAAAAAATGATGGCATAACCTGGATAAGAGGAATATTGTACTTAAAGGAATTAAGGAGATGGTGAAACTTACCACTGGATGAAGGAGGAAGAGGTTGTGGAAGTTTGTGAGAAACTTAGAGAGATGACACGAGTGCTGGAGGAAAGATGAAATCAGAGAAATTGGAAGTCATAAGGGTAGTACAGTAATTTATTAAAACAAGCAGTGGATGAGAAAATGGGTTGAGAACTAAATACAGTACAGTCAAGTTCTGTCAAACAACAAGTTTCAGACCAAGAGGCTCCCTTAAAGTGGATAATTATGTTAAGTGTTTGCTATCAGGACCGTGCGTCTACTGAAAGCAAGTAATAAACCATGGAACTTGTATCAGGTTGGTTATATACCTGTACACTAACTTACTTCTTTATTCTCTAACTCTCTCAGTGTTATTAAGTCTATAGGTAAGAATTCAGTATGTCATCATTCTCCTGCATTTACCATATAACGTATTCCTCAAACTCACGTGATGACAAGTAGACTCATCACTCACATAGTCACTGAGCCAGTTGCATGATTGCCCAACTTCTCATTTAAGCACATGTAATATGAGGAAAATTAAATAAAAGAAAAGTTATTCAATACTGTTCCATATTCTTAAACCTCTTATGTAGAATGGTCAAAACTTTTTTGAAAAATAAATTATAATGTAAATTTAATTTATAATTGAAAGATACTTGACTGTACACAGTCCAGTGAAAATTAGGAATATTTAGAAGGAAATGAAGAAAGATGCATGAGTTATGTAGTAAAAATAAATACAATAGATCAATTGTTTTAATTGAAGTGAAAGCTGGAGGATATTGTAATCACCCGATGAGCGACTGTGGGATACTAATGAGACCCTTGCACGTAGGACTCGATTGTTCTTTATTCGGTCAAAACCTGCAGAGTACAAATTACATATGAGATAATTAATTCACTAGTACGTTCCTCACTATTAACAACTACATATGATATACTTGAGTAGAGTGGGATGTTAAACCATATAAGAACTTACTTGTTTCACATTTAACACCTCAGCAAAGTCTCTCTCTCTCTCTCTCTCTCTCTCTCTCTCTCTCTCTCTCTCTCTCTCTCTCTCTCTCTCTCTCTCTCTCTCTCTCTCTCTCTCTCTCTCTCTCTCTCTCTCTCTCTCTCTCTCTCTCTCTCTCTCTCTCTCTCTCTCTCTCTCTCTCTCTCTCTCTCTCTCTCTCTCTCTCTCTCTCTCTCTCTCTCTCTCTCTCTCTCTCTCTCTCTCTCTCTCTCTCTCTCTCTCTCTCTCTCTCTCTCTCTCTCTCTCCCTCTCTCTCTCTCTCTCTCTCTCTCTCTCTCTCTCTCTCTCTCTCTCTCTCTCTCTCTCTCTCTCTCTCTCTCTCTCTCTCTCTCTCTCTCTCTCTCTCTCTCTCTCTCTCTCTCTCTCTCTCTCTCTCTCTCTCTCTCTCTCTCTCTCTCTCTCTCTCTCCCTCTCTCTCTCTCTCTCTCTCTCTCTCTCTCTCTCTCTCTCTCTCTCTCTCTCTCTCTCTCTCTCTCTCTCTCTCTCTCTCTCTCTCTCTCTCTCTCTCTCTCTCTCTCTCTCTCTCTCTCTCTCTCTCTCTCTCTCTCTCTCTCTCTCTCTCTCTCTCTCTCTCTCTCTCTCTCTCTCTCTCTCTCTCTCTCTCTCTCTCTCTCTCTCTCTCTCTCTCTCTCTCTCTCTCTCTCTCTCTCTCTCTCTCTCTCTCTCTCTCTCTCTCTCTCTCTCTCTCTCTCTCTCTCTCTCTCTCTCTCTCTCTCTCTCTCTCTCTCTCTCTCTCTCTCTCTCTCTCTCTCTCTCTCTCTCTCTCTCTCTCTCTCTCTCTCTCTCTCTCTCTCTCTCTCTCTCTCTCTCTCTCTCTCTCTCTCTCTCTCTCTCTCTCTCTCTCTCTCTCTCTCTCTCTCTCTCTCTCTCTCTCTCTCTCTCTCTCTCTCTCTCTCTCTCTCTCTCTCTCTCTCTCTCTCTCTCTCTCTCTCTCTCTCTCTCTCTCTCTCTCTCTCTCTCTCTCTCTCTCTCTCTCTCTCTCTCTCTCTCTCTCTCTCTCTCTCTCTCTCTCTCTCTCTCTCTCTCTCTCTCTCTCTCTCTCTCTCTCTCTCTCTCTCTCTCTCTCTCTCTCTCTCTCTCTCTCTCTCTCTCTCTCTCTCTCTCTCTCTTTATTAATAAATTGTATTGTTAATTTTGTACACACAAACATTAATTCAATAAAAACAAATTCAGAAACATTAATTAAAATATATATGAACAGTAAATAAGTGTTGCTTTCATATTCTTATGTACAGAATTACCCGCTTTACACAGTTTCACTCCTTTTTTTTCCTTTTCTCATTTACGCGGTACCTTGCCAGAACCAGACTTTCACTTTCCGCAATGCATCTACTCATATACTCGGTGAAGTATAATTTTTTATTTTTTTTATTTAGCTCATAAAACAAATTACCCTGCCAGAATATAATTTACATTGCTGGAATTCTTACAATATGATGATCATTTTGAATATAAACATCATGGATTTTGCATTAGACATACAAATTTTAGATCTAAAGTAATAATTTGGTTTACACAAAGCAAATATTTTACCTTTTGTGCAAAATATATGAAGTTTACATTCAAAATATTCCCTGACCTGCAAGGAATCCAGAAATGTCAATTATATTATCCTAACTTTAGTCTGAGGTATTATTTATTACTAAATGTTAAAATCTAGAATTTTCACCCACACATTTATCTGGTAGGGAGGGAAGGTGGGGTACTTTGATTGACAGATAGTGTCATGAAGAATTTTTTTTTTTTATTTACTGAAGATATTTGTTTTAGCTCATAAAATTCATACAAATTACTCGACCAGAATATAATTTACATTGCTGGAATTCTTACAATATGATGATCATTTTGAATATAAACATTATGGATTTTGCATTAGACATACAAATTTTAGATCTAATGTAATATTTTGGTTTACACAAAGCAAATATTTTATCTTTTGTGCAAAATATATGAAGTTTACATTCAAAATATTCCCTGACCTGCAAGGAATCCAGAAATGTCAATTATATTATCCTAACTTTAGTCTGAGGTATTATTTATTACTAAACGTTAAAATCTAGAGTTTTCACCCAAACATTAATCAGAGAGGTAGGAGCTAGTGAGCTGGGAAGAGGGGATTTGAGTCCATTATTTAAATGGACATTAACCTGGCGACTGTATTTCTCTTAAATATTAATTGTGTGAGCATACCATCATAAAATTTAGATGTTATTTTTACTACAACATAGGTATTGTGTCGGAAAAAGTGGAGTTTGGGGGTCGGGCCAGTCTCTATTGGAATTAATCCCATATGTTCTGTTGTTCACTTTACGTGGTTTTCACTTTCCGCGGTACCCTGTGGGTTCAATTGACTGCGTAAATCGGGGTACTACTGTAAAGTAATGACGATATGTTTTCACGTGTGCGCATGCGCACTTACATACTCGAACTCTCTTTTTTCTTTACCGTTATCGTTAGCTACTTCTATTGTTCCATTTATTAACATTAAATAACATTACTTAAAACAACCATATTAATTTTACTACAGCTACAGCCATTGTCTTATTTTCTTCAGTTTTATATGTAGAACCAGTCAGTCACTGGTTTTGTAATCAACGAAAACAATGCTGTGTCATTTCGTCTTGTGTTTTAATATTCTACGTATTATTAATGAATTGTATTGCTCATTTTGTACACAAACAATAATTCAATAAAAAAGACATTCAGTAATAAACAATAATGAATCTTTTGTGCATAAGAGAAATGACGCTGTTTACACGATTATGCACGTCGTCTGCACGTTGGCGGGCCGTTCAAAACCCGTCGAAATTCAAGTTTCCTCCGTCAAAATTTTTATTTATTTATTTTTTTGTGTGTTCCAATAAAATACGTTAAGAATTAAAAACTCGCGAAATTTGAGAAGCTACTATACAACATTTAACCCTTCAATATGTCTTCAAAGAGACCATGATGCAGAGAAAGTGGTGCTAGTGCTTCCAAGCATAAGCACAAGTCACTATCTATCCAGGAAAAGGGTGAATTTCCATGGTCCGGCACCGGTCAGGTCCCGAGGTTGCCGGACTAGAGAGGTACAACCTGTACATATACAGTAGAATGTCGATTTAAAGTGATTCAATTTAAGATTATTGATTTAAAGAGACACCCACAATTAAGGACAATGTTTTAATTTAAAGCAAATCTTTCCTATTTTGCGGAAGTCAGTCTGGCGCATCATATTTTAAAATTCGCGTCTAATGTTTCTCTGGGCATGCTATACTGCCCTAAGGGCAAAGGTGTAATGTACATGTACTCAAAATAATGTACTAAATGATTACTAAAATTTCTGTCTTGTGCAAACTATAGCATGTTTATATTCAAATTAATCAGTATCTTAAAAGAATTCAGCAATGTAAATTATATTCTCCCCGGTCACTTCTGTGACTTTTATAAACAAAAAACAAAAACTCAATCTAAAGGACATAAATAAACAAATAAATACTTAACTAGACCTTTAGTGCAACTGTCAAATATGTCACCTCCCCTTCTTCCCCCTCCCCCCTACACCCCCCCCCCTCTCTCTCTCTCTCCCAGCCAGGGTTTGGTGGTTATAGGCTTACAGTTTTTATCTTATATAATATCACAGACTAAAGTTATGAGAATATAATTTGCATTGCTAGAATCCCTGTAAGACAGCGAATAATTTGAAAATAAATGTCATATATTTTGCAAAAGAGATAAAAAATTTTGCCCTTTGTAATATAATTAATTAGAACTCAAATTTGTATGTCTAATGCAAACTATATCATGTATATATTTAAACTAATCACTGTCTTATAAGAATTCCAGCAATGTTACTTATATTCTCCCATGTCAGTTCAGTGACATTTTATAAGAGAAAAACTTAGTCAGTCTTAAGGACAGATAAATAAATAAGCACTAGACTTAGGCATCAACTGTCAAACATATCACCTCACCTCCCCCCCATCCCATCTTTTCATCGGCTGATGCTAGTAAACAGACCATTTGACGTCCCATAATTTGAACTGTGTTAATTTATGAGTGTTTGTTTTAACATAATACTACAAAAAACAATGTTTTGTTTATTCTAGGAGATGGGCTGAGGCACATCTGGGTAGACTGTCAGTCTTTTTAGTATTTTGTGTTTTTCTCAAGTACCAAACATAATTATTTCATTGAAACAACACTTCGAATTAGTGCGAATTCGGTTTAAAGCGACCTCTCTTGGAATGTATCTCGTGTTATATCAACATTCTACTGTACATAAATTCAAAACTCCTTGTGTGATGCCTGGTGAGGTGCTTGTATGCATTACTATAAAGTCACATTCATTGAGATTTTATAAGAGAAAAACTCAAAACTCCTCTATATGACAGATAAATAAATACCACTAGGTTACCTTGGTTCATAATACATCAACTTCCCCTCCGCACTTCTGGCAAGATTGAAGGTGGTTTAGGCTTTTTTTATCTTATAAAATGGCACAGACTAAATTTAGCAGAATATAAATTGAATTGCTGGAATCCTTGCAAGACAGCGAATAATATGAATACAGTCATCCCTTGGTTATTGCGATTTTTGTTATCACGCCTCCGTCAAAATCTGCACACCTGCTGTTATAGCGCATTTTTCAAACTGAGAATTTAGTTATCACACAGTTTCCTCCAGGTGTATTGTTACCCCCTTGCTTCACCTACATCTATTGAGGATAAAATATTTCACCTACAAATTAACAATAACACATTTGCTGGATGAAGATGGATGGAGGTAACAAAACTTGAAAGTGGTTGTACAAACACAAGCACTCACACATGCCACTCATACTGACAGACTTGACACTCATTTACTTGTCAAGTTTTACCAACCATATAGACAGTTGAAGCTTTCAACATCACTCACAATGGATCTTGAATGTTCCAACTGTAATCATACATATCTAAGTTGCCTCAACAATTGCAACCCCAGTTGCAATTTCAAATTCTGTGTCATTACTAAGGAATAACGAAGTCTCGGGTGCACTCTAAGATTGAGAGAAAACGGAGGACTCGGGCATCCTGTAGCGATGAGAAAACGGACTCCTCAGGCGGGGGACTCAAATAAAGAAAGCATAGCTACATGTTTTGTGGACTACAGTATTGAGCTTACCCTTTTCATCACTTTGTAATAAACCTAGCCATGCCTGTGTGTGTTTCTGATATTTACCATAACTTTATCTATATCTTTAGTGAGTCTAAATGGTCATAAAATGGGAAAATTGGGGTTGGGTCATAGGTGCCTGTAAACAATTAAAATAAATCCCATAGGTTCTGTACTTTTGTTATCACGCACTCGGCGCGGTCCAAAGTAGGCGTGATAACTAAGGGATGACTGTATAGACATCATATATTTTGCACAAGAGATAAAAATTTTAGTCCCTTAAGTTCATTTAAGTACTGTACTGTACATGTTTTTCAACTTATTTTTCAGTAGATATAGTAATGTTCTTCATTTATTTTTACTCATTTACATACACACACCATCCTATATACATATTGTGAATAAGGTAAAAAGTAGTCTGTGACGACTCAAACGAAGTTGTACCGAGTCACCAGGATGTTACATGAATTTTTGGTCTCTAAAGTTTATCAACGTAGTACCAAAACAATGTTAAGTGGGCTGACATTAAGCAAGGACTTACTGTACTACTCGATTCTTGTCAAGCTACTCCATTTGTGTGTGCTTATATTTAGATTGTTTACTACAGGTATTATAGACTATATGTGATGTCGATCTTTTATAAATTCCAACAGCAACAGCAGCAACAACAGCACCACACAGCCATACGCCAGCAGATGCAGCAACAGTTACAACAGCGACCAGGTATGACCATGAACATTGGGCAACAAGGGCCAGGATCAAACACTAATCTGGGCCAGGCAAGGATGATGCAGCCCACTATGCCTACATCTGGTCTAAAACAACTTCTTCAACAGCAGGTAAGGGGCTGTAAGTACAGGCACCTCTTGATTTGCGCATTTTTGTTTCACACCGTGTTTAGATTAGCACATATGGTCTATTTACACATTTTTTTTAATTTACGAGGGCTTATGTTTGGAATAATGCGACCATCGACATGCATCATTGAGTTTACAGCACAGTGATGTGGCATTACTAGCATTGTATGAGAATTCCATCTACAGGTGGTGTGGGTATGCAGCTTCCCGCCTTGCATAGATACAATCTATAGTCATGAGTGCTATAGTATTTTGTGCTGCAGTTTACTGTACTGTATATTGCATGTATTTTCCCCTTATATCATGCCACCAAAGCATCCTTTAAGTTCTGGTACCAGTGGCGCTAAGAAGTGTAAGGTCATCACCATTGAGTTTAAGGGAGGTGAACAAGCAGCTTATATTAAACATGCCCTAGGACTTAGTGAATCTACTCTATGGACTTTTCATGATAGTGCAGAGAAGATTGAAGAGGGTGCCAAGAGCGGATCATTAATTAGTGTACAGTATCTAATATCTCAAATTCCCAAATTTTGATTATGGAGAGAATGGAACGAATATTGTGCACATGGATCGAACACTAAGCTCATGAAAATGTTCCCATTAGCATGCTTGTGAAACACTCAAAGGCTTAGAGTGTTTTATATTTCCTGATACGTATATACAGTAGATCGTTGATTTAAAGCGATTCAATTTAAGATTATTGATTTAAAGCGACACCCACAATTAAGGACAATGTTTTAATTTAAAGTGAATCTTTCCTATTTTGCACGAGTCAATCTGGTGCCTCATATTTTAAAATTCACGCCTAATGTTTCTCTGGGCACGTTTGCACTGTCCTAAGGGCAAAGCTGTACTGTACATGTACTCAAAATAATGTACTAAATGATTACTAAAATTTTTGTCTCGTGAAAACTATAGCATAATTATATTCAAATTAATCACAGTAAAAGTCCAAAAATCCGGATGCCAGAAATCCGGATCACCCGAGAATCCGGACTTTTCGAAAACTCAAACTTTTTTTTTTTTTAATTTAGCTGGCTTTTGTGTGTATGTGCACATGCGTGAGCGCCACAGCTGTACAGCAACAACAAGCGACCACGCTGTCGCCACTTTAAAATGAGCAATCAAACTGTGACAACGTATGTAGTTTTAAGTCCTACTATTTCCATTTACAGAGTACAGTACAAGCCCATAATAATGGCTCCAAAAGTAGATAAACTTCGTTGTGTGAAGAGAAAGAAGAACACATTGAAATTGAGTGACAAACTTGAAATAATTAAGAAACTAGAACGTGGTGTGAGCAATACTGTTCTAATGGAAACATACGACATTGGAAAGTCTACAATTTATGATATAAAGAAGGCAAAGAATAAAATTCTAGAATTTACAGCTTTTTCTTTAAAACTGCTCGTTTTGATAAATGAAGCATGCAATATTTGCTAATGAATAAACTATCAAAATGTACCTGTTCATCTCTTCTTTATTCCTCCTTAAATTTGAATTTTATAAGTACTGCCTGAGAATCCGGAAAATCCGAAAATCCGGACTGACCCAATCCCCAAGCAGTCCGGATTTTTGGACTTCTACTGTATCTTATAAGAATTCCAGCAATGTAAATTTTATTCTCCCCGGTCACTTTTGTGACATTTTATAAACAAAAACTCAATCAAAAGGACATAAGTAAACAAATAAATACTTCACTAGACCTTTGGCGCAACTTTCAAACATTGTACCTCCCCTTCCTCTCTCCCATCTTCCCAGCCAGGGTTTGGTGGTTTTAGGCTAACAGTTTTTATCTTATATAATATCACAGACTAAAGTTAGGAGAATATAATTTGCATTGCTAGAATCCTTGCAAGACAGTGAATAATTTGAATATAAACGTCATATATTTTGCACAAGAGATAATAGGTTTCCTAATTAAAACTAAAATTTGTATGTCTGTCTTATGCGAACTATGGTATGTTTATATTCAATTGAATCACTATCGTATAAGAATTCCAGCAATGAAAATTATATTCTCCCAGGTCACTTCTGTGACACTGTATAAACAAAAAGTCAATCTAAAGGACATAAATAAACAAACAAATAATTCACTAGACCTTCAGCCCCCAACTGTCAAACATGTCACTGTCACCTAATAATGGATGCCCCTCGAGATCGAGGATGGCCGGCCCAAGGGCCTCCTAGGGCCTAGGCGTGAATTTGTTAAGGTGTAGAAGCTGTTGCCAACACAACAACCGCACCCTAAGTTGACGAGCTGCATGACCCAGTGTCATGGAATAGTCTGAGAAGACTGGACAGCCTGCCAACTGCACTGGCTAACCATTACCCCGGAATACGATCCGCAAATCGATGAACACCCAAGTTCCCAATTACTGCTGGGTAGACAGAGGCAAATGGCGAATTGAAACTTGCCCAAGTTTCACCCTGCCCGAGGATCATACTCGGGTCCGCTCGCTTGCGAGGCGAGGATGCTGACCATTACGCCACAGGTCACCTAATCCCCCAACCCCCCTCCCCATCTTCCCAGCCAGGGTTGGGTGGTTATAGGCTTACAGTTTTTATCTTATATAATATCACAGGCTAAAGTTAAGAGAATATAATTTGCATTGCTAGAATCCTTGCAAGACAGTGAATAATTTGAATATAAACGTCATATATTTTGCACAAGAGATATAAATTTTAGCACTTTGTAATAAAATTAATTAGAACATGTCAGTTCAGTGTTTATATGAGAAAAACTTGGTCACTCTTAAGGACATATAAATAAATAAGCACTAGACCTTGGCATCAACTGTCAAACATATCACCTCACCTCCCCCCCCCCATCTTTTCATCAGCTGATCGCTAGTAAACAGACCATTTCACGTCCCATAATTTTAGCTGTGTTGATTTATGAGTGTTTGTTTTAACATAATACTACAAAAAACAATGTTTTGTTTATTCTAGGAGATGGGCTGAGGTGCATCTGGGTAGACTCAGTTTTTTAGTATTTTGTGTTTCTCTCAAGTGCGAAACTAAATTATTCCATTGAAACAGCACTTTGATTTAGTGCGAATTCTGTTTAAAGCGACCTCTCTTGGAATGTATCTCATGTTATATCGACGTTCTACTGTACTGTAATTTTTCAGTGATATAATATCGGGTACTGTCTAATGAATCACTAAACCAACTAATCTTAACTCTTTACATTGTTTCATTTATGTGTTTTTGATATACATGACCTTTTTCAAGAATGTAATTATTGCATAAATCTTAGAGGTGCCTGTATTACAAATGGATTTTAATTCACAAAGTTCACTTTTTTACTTTCCGGATATTCGGAGAATTTCCCTTTCAGATAAAAGATATAGTCTCTTACACTGAACAAATGCCATAGTAAATGTATTAATCTCACTATGCAGTATCAGGGATCCCCATCCTTTATATAGTAATATGCCACATAACAAACAAGTACAATAGTACCCCACTTTACTCGGTCAATTGAACCCACAGGGTACCCCGTTAAGTGAACAACAGAACATATGGGATTAATTCCAATAGAGACTGGCCCGACCCCCAAACTCTACTTTTTCCGACACAATACCTATGTTCTCGTAAAAATAACATTTTAATTTTATGATGATACATGCACACAATTAATATTTAAGAGAAATACAGTCATCAAGTTAATGTCCATTCAAATAATGGACTCAACTCCCTCCCCCTCTTCTCACACTACACTGCTGGCTCTTCCCTCTCTGAGAAATTTTTGGGGGAAAACCACTAGATTTTAATAAATAATACCTCAAACTAAAGTTAGGATAATATAATTGACATTGCTGGATTCCTTGTAAGACCAGGAATATTTTGAATATAAATGTCATATATTTTGCACAAAAGATAACATATTTACTCAGAGTAAACATTGCAGTAATACCCCGCTTAACATGGTTTCGCTTAGCGCGATTTCACGTATACGCGGTGCCTCGCCAGAGCTGAACTTTCACTTAACGCGGGTTTTTTCCACGTATACGCGCAGAGTGTCCGGCTGGAGAGCTATTTTTAAATTCGCCCCATCCCCCACCCGCCACCCTGCCTGACTGCCTGCCTGCCTGTTTTAGCTCATAAAATTCATACAAATTACCCGGCCAGAATATAATTTACATTGCTGGAATTCTTACAATATGATGATCATTTTGAATATAAACATCATAGATTTTGCATTAGACATACAAATTTTAGATATAATGTTTACTCTCAGTAAATATGTTATTTTTTGTGCAAAATATATGACATTTGTATTCAAAATATTCCTGGTCTTACAAGGAATCCAGCAATGTCAATTATATTATCCTAACTTTAGTTTGAGGTATTATTTATTACTAAAAAGGTAAATATTCTGGTTTTCCCACACATCTGGTATGGAGGGTTTGGGGGGAGTGGGGGGGGAGGGAGGGACCGACTGACCATCTGTTACCATGTGAAGAATATTTTGTTTTTTTATTAACTGAAGATATTTGTTTTAGCTCATAAAATTCATACAAATTACCCGGTCAGAATATACAGTGGGGTATGCTATAACGAACGGATCCTACTACGAATATTCCTATAACGAACGGTTTTACCTATAAAATTGAGAATGCTATAACGAACGAAACTCCTACAACGAACATTATTTAAAAAAAAAAAAATTTTTTTTTACTAATTTATTGTTTTTTTATTTCAAGTATTAATGATATTCTTTATTTCAGGGGTTTAGATGCATATTTATGCACTTTTTTACAATTTTTACAATTTTATATTATATTTTTCAGTGTTAAGTGGTTGTATTTGGGGGCCTGGAACTGATTAATCCTATAACGAACGAATGCTATAACGAACAAGGTTCTAGAACCAGTTAGATTTGTTATAGCATACCCCACTGTAATTTACATTGCTGGAATTATTATAATTTGATGATCATTTTGAATATAAACATCATAGATTTTGCATTAAACATACAAATTT